CACCTGCTTGAAATGAATTAATTTTGTACTTTTTAATTTGCAATATAGATCAAATGAATTTTCATCAATTTATTTATTTTTGAATAGTGCATTCGTTTGTAAAGTTTGAATATATTTCAATTGTATGACATATCAAAATGTGAAATAAAATATTTTTAAATAATTTAACGATTTCAAAATGAGAACGAATTTCTTTGCTGCACAAAAGAAAAAACGTATCATAACGGTACTGATGGTTTAAATCTGGCCAAGAACATATTATTATCACCGCCAAGTAGGATAGTACCATCATCAAATTCCACCGCCTACAATGAAAAAGAGAAAAAAAATTGGCATTGATAATTCTTTTCGTTTGTTGTAATTATTATTGGTAATTCAAAATAGAATGGAGAAATTTGCTCATTATACAAAGGTATGAAAAATATGAAACAATTATAATATCTTAATTAATAAATAAAATTAATCAGTTAAGAGAAGGAATTATTAAAAATTATTACCTGTGAAATTGAATTTATAGTTAAACCAGTAGGATCATGGAAACTTCGCATTATAGTACCATTAATTGGATCAATAAGCAGTAACAAACCATATTTGGGTAAGAAATAGTCAAGAATTGCCATAAATCTATCACTTTTTGCAATCTATAATATCATATAAAGTATATTACTCATAAAAAATATCGTTTGATATTTTCCAATCAAAGGATATTTTTTCATTTACAATACTCCTGTAAAATGCAATAGACACTATCTGTGTACAGTATCCATACAAGCTATTAATATAAAATTTTTCTGCAAAATTTTTTTCACGAAATTTTATCAGTAAAAGAAAAAAAAATTATTAACGTTAACAAAAATTCCATTGGTAAAGCAAAAAAAAAGAGAATGAATATTTTTCCAAAAAAAAGAAGTAAAACTACTAATTAATAAAATGATTTCCGAAAATTTTTTGGATTTTTGGTCATTTTATAAACATTTTTAAATTATAAAACGATGGAGTAAATGAAAAGAAAGAATACCATTGCTATAATATCCCTCAGAAATGGCCTTTCAGTAATCCAAGAATCATCTTCTAAACGAGTTTGACCAAGTGGTACCCATAACATGCCATTATTAGCCATTCGAATATTATCCGGATAGCCGGGTAAATTACTTGCCACAATCATGTATTTTTGATATTTATAATTGAAGCAATACCTAAAAAAATGAAATTTATCAAATTTATCGCGTAAAGAAAATTAATCGAACAGAATGAAAATTTAATTATCGAGCAGAAAAAAAGTAATCACATCATCATTTTTGTTATTTAAAAAAGAAAAAGATTTAACGAGTTAAATAGTGTTAACTGTTAAAATAAAATGAAAGATTAAAATGTTTATTTTTAAATTAATATTTAGTGATTGTGAATTGGAAAAAAAAGAGACGATGTCATTTAAACATTAATCTGATCATTCTTTGATCAATTTAACAGCAGCAAATTGACTTCAGTATTCGAAGATTGCCCATTTCGGAAAAAAATACACATTTTCCAGTCTTATCAAATTCTACACCGTTCGGATAATATAAACGATCGATCAGAACACGGAGTACACCGGTATGCATATTATAATGCAATAATCTAAATAGAGATATAATTAAAGCAAAAATTTTACTGAATATTATTTTCAATTTTTAATTCTAATTTAGGCAAAGAAATTCATAATTTTTCAAGAAATCGATAATTAATATTACTCAAATAGCTGAAATTCTAACTCAAACAAAGTGGCAGATTAAATATTTGAATTTAAATTAAATTCAAAAAAAGAATGTCTAACAAATTTTTATGATGAGAAATTGTTAAAATCTCTTATCCAGATTCCCTATCCGAAAAAATTGAATTATAAATTTATTGAATTTCAATTTGAACTGAAATAGTAAACTTACCTTCCATCCGGTCTGTGTTCAGCCATTGCATAAAAACAATCACGATCAGCAAAACGATGAGATGGTTCAGTGAAGACAATGTGATTTCCATCTTGGCTGATATCAAAGTCATTAAAATGAACAACTGGCGAAGATGAATGATGTGATATCTTCGTTCCAGGCTTTAGAATTTGTCTTATCGTCTCTAAAATTGCATACAGAGCCAAACGACAATATTTTGTTTTATTTTTTAAAATATTTTTTTTGTTTTTTAAAATTTCCAATTTCAAACATTTATTTAAATAAAAGAATAAAGAATTCATAATTAATTATAGCATTAAAAAAAGGAAAACTGAAATTGTAAAAAATACGCCTTAAATTTGAAAAATCACTGGAAGTGAAATGGTAAAAAGAGAAGAATTTAAAATCAGTAAAATTT